GTAGAGGCAATTCCAGAGTTGTGGAAAGACCCAGAAATTCTTGCTATCATGCTTGTTGTTGCTATCTCTAAATTATCATTATTTTTTAAAAAATCAGTTTATTTGCATTATGATAAACAGCAGCAGATGCTTTTGTGGTTAATTTTGTTTTCGCATTATTTGTTCCGGGGAAAGTTATCTTTTTTTTCCCTAGCAAGTTATTTAAAGAAGGAAAACTTCATAAGGGAATCATTTTCATATTTATTCATTGTCGTTCATCCGTGAGTGGCATCAGGGAAATTCTTTGAAAACTGATGGTGTGTGGCGCTGTAGAAAGTTTAAGAATCTCTGCAGTGTTTTAAAAATAAATAATTATTATAAGTTTATTACATTTTATTTATGCTATTTTATCTTCGTTTCCAGGGGCTGTTAACACTGTTCAGCGTCATAATAACCCCAATCACCTTGGTGACCCTCATCTCGGGTCGAAGTGACCCGTGTCAAGGTTCACCACCTCTCTCCGATCGCCTCGCGGCCTACATCCACGACAACAACCCCAACGACGACGCCGGGGCGGAGCTGCAGGACTACCTGCTCAAGCACGTCGACGCCAACCGCGACGCCTGCATCACCAACACGGAATGGCTCGACCGGCTGTCGGCGAACGGGTTTTCCACGGGGTACGCGTCGGCGCTCCTCAAGACCCTCGGTGGTGACGCGGACCGGAACTGCTCGCTGGACGTCCAGCAGGCCGGTCAGTACCCGATGCCCGCGGGCCGTTTCGTGAACGACTGCATCAACGCGTTGATATCGCTGTGTGAGAACGACCGGACGCTGTACACAACCGACTGTGAGTGCTCGCAGCTCGGTGACCTGTGCGCACGTGATCCCCCTTTCAAGGACGTCGTCGCCTGCCAACTCTACGCGGCCGGGGTGTTCTTTGGCTAATGAATCCGAAATTAATTAATGTATCATTAATGCAGTTCATTAATTAGGCCTCATGTATCATTGTAGTTCACTAATTAGACCTTTAATATATCATTTATGTAGTTCGCTAATTAGACCTAATGTATCATTAATTAGGATAATTAGAACTTTAAATGTTAAGTTTATCTTATCAAAATGAAAATATTGCAGTACCGGTATCAGGTCTATCAAAAGCCATGTGTTCAGAAAGTGATGGGAACAACTGTAGGCCTACTATATGGCATAATTCAAAAGATTAACCTTTACATTGTAAAGAAGAAAACTGAACCATGCTGTTTATGCAATTTAATAAAATTGTTTATACATATAAAAAAAAAGTTTGGGGGGAGTTATAAATTTTCTGATTTCTAGGGTCTTGCCATAATTGAAATATGAGTAATTCAGTTAGGCCTACACTACAGATTCTAAAAGCTGCACCAGGAACACTTTCTTCAATGAGAACCTCACTTTTGCTGAAATTCATTGACGTTGACAAACGAGCATCTATTTTGGTCAATGATAACTGTGAAGAGATATCTACAAAGGTCTATGAAATGACATTTAAATAAAAAAAAAAAAGAAACAACAAAGAATTGGTCTGTTTGCTTTAATGCTTTATGAGAAAATAAATGCACAGCAACAAGCATCTAAGATTTTCAATATTGACAAATATAGCCACTCAAACTGGGATACAGTGAACACACAAGTAAATCTGTGTAAAACTCTTATCAAATTAAACTCAACCGAAATTATTATTTTTATGATATATATATTTTGAAAATCTCCTCCTATTTCTAAATGCAGTCTAAAGAACATGATATCAAACATTTGAGGATTGAGACCGAGAAATGTAAATCTCTAAAAAATAGAACAGATTTGAAATGAAGGATACCATTAGTTATCAAATCATAATTTATTTTGATTTTTCTGTATTCTAGTTCGAGATTCATTCCCTCGTTTCGGTATTTGATATTCTAAGCCTTAGTTTAGGAATAGAGTCAATACCCAGATGAATTTCCTCTGGTCTATACAGCACGGGTGGCGGAGCACATAACTGCACCTTGCCAGATACAAGATGCCAGCTAATCCAGTCAAACAGTAACATATAACATTTTATTTTTGTCCTTCTCAGGAATACAATTTATACATGTTTTGAAAAAAACAAACAAATTCAGTGTATTCCAACATTAACACATTTCGGTTGACACATTAACACATTTTGGTTGACACATTAACACATTTCGGTTGACACATTTACACATTTCGGTTGACACATTAACACATTTTGGTTGACACATTAACACATTTCGGTTGACACATTTACACATTTCGGTTGACACATTAACACATTTCGGTTGACATTTTGGTTGACACATTTACACATTTCAGTTGACACATTAACACATTTCGGTTGACACATTAACACATTTCGGTTGACACATTAACAATCGGGTGTCTCAAAATAAATAAGATGTTGTTTCGGGATGATTCGGCTGATTCAGAATCAAACTGGTTCTACAAAGATTCGATAGCAGCTCTGATCCTCAAATACACCTCTTAAAAAAATAGTTAGAGAAATACTTTGTTTTAATTGAATAGTGTACTGTTGGTTGGCAATCATTGAATGAGCAATATCATACAAAAAATACCATTTTGTTACCACAAATTATGAAGAAACAAAAAAAAACAGTACAGCAATATTTCCAATAAAGATTACACTACAATGACAAAGCTAAGAAGTGAAACTGGAGCTGAAATCAACAATAAACTTATGTATTTTGTACAAAATTTCTTAGGAAGTGCCTTCAATGACCCATTATGTTCAAAGCCTGTACACTTTTGATTAAAATTATAAGATGGTGTGTGCACACTAAATTTTTAAATAGCTCCACTGGAACTTAATGAACAAAGTTCTTGAGAGATGATCAGTTTGCTTGTGACAGATGTAAAATGTTTAGTTTTTCATTGCAGATAACATGCCAACTCCTTTTACGTGCATTTTATAGCATATCATTAAAAGTACTAATTTAAATGTTGACAAAGAAAAGTTTTTTTTCAAATGATCTTAGTCACTTATACATAAACACGGCCAATCAGTGTCATAAATTACCTTAGAAGAGACAAGATTTATAAATCAGTCACATCAAATAAGTCAACTTTACATATAAATCTTCGTTAGCCCCGAAATGTGTAGCTGTGCTAAGGCAGGAAAATGCTCCCCTTATAATTGCACAACAATTCTTGCTACTTAACACCTTAATCAATGTGGTCATAGCTAGTCATTTTCATCATTGTGCACTACTTCAGCCGAATATTTTCTTCACATTCACTTTAACTCTTGCATAACTATAAAATTTATCTAGAAAGATGTGACGAGTTATCTTCAAATAGATGTGCTTTGTGATAGGATCTTTTCAGCCAATACGTATTTCTCCTGACTCAGGTGTTTAAAATTAACACCAATAATGGCAGTCAGGAATAAAAATGTCTTTTGAAAACATACAAGAAAATAAGGAAACAAGTCACAGCAATTTGGTACGTTACAGCAATTTAAAAAAAAAAATGGCAGTCAGGAACACAAATGTCCTTTCAAGCCACACAAGATACAAAGTAAACAAGTCACAGCTTTCTGATATGTAACAGCAATAAATACATATTATTATTAGGCACATGTAATGTGGGACTCATCTAATGCTGCATAACAAGTTTACAACACAACTCTATTGCTTTACTGAACAACAGCTAATCCAGCTAACCTTTATAAGCATATCTCAAAATAAAATATCAATATGTAAAACCATGAAAATGTCACAAAATTCTGAGATTTATTACATTTTAATATTTTTTCCCCCTTCCACACTGGTAGTTTATTTCTGTACGGTATATAATTTAAAGCCGCCCCCCCCCCCCCCCCC